ACGCAAAAAAACGCAACAAATGTAAACAAATGTTTTACTCTAACGGAGCAGAGAGAGTGTGAGAGGGAGAATGGGAGCCACACACACTGAATGACAACAAACATGGAGAAGCCCCCCAAACAAAACCGCTATTGTTGCTTTATGCAAGCACAAGGCATGCATTATCAATTGTTTGTGTGTTTGCGCGCGCTCTCTCTCTCATTTGTCATTGAGAGTTAACCTTGCTGGGTTTTGTTTTTATTTCTGGAAGTACTCGTTCACTCTCTCTCGCTCATTTATTCGTTTACAAAGGAAGTAATGATGTCAACTGCATTTGTTGTTGTTGAACAAAAAAATGCACACACCCATACACCCGCCGTATACACAGTTTCATTGATACCCTGCAAGCAAAAACTATCGCGGAAGTAACGTCGAGGTAACGCCTAGGCGATAGAAACAGTCGCGGAAGATAGTCGCATTCTTATCGCGGAAGTCACCTCCTTCGGGAAGAAATGAACCACGTCCGCGTTACTTCCAAGAAGTGACTTCTGCGTAACATATATTAGTAACTTACGCGATACTACGCATATGACACGCTAAAGTTACTTCCTGGAAGTGACGCGGACGTGGTTCATTTCTTCCCGAAGGAGGTGACTTCCGCGATAAGAATGCGACTATCTTCCACGACTGTTTCTTTCGCCTAGGCGTTACTTCGACTTAACTCCCGCGTCACTTCTAGTAGGCATAATATTTTCAATATTACATTATTTATTCACTGAAACAACTTATTGATTAAATAAATTAACAATTTTAAAATTATTTTATTTATTTTTTCAAACACTCACATTCAAAACATTATAAAATACAAACTTTTAACAATCACAATATAAATAAAGATTTCTGTTTTTTGTTTTTGTTTACGTTTTTTTAATTATTTAAATATCTCACTATTGATACACACAGATCACTTTGAAAAATTAACATTAACTGAGTTGATTTATGTGTTTTCTCCTCTAACTGTTTTTACAAGCAGATGAGAGACAATTTTGAAAGAGAGCAAATTGTTTTTGTAGCATTTGATCAATCTTCTTTTGTCTTCCCAGGCGTCACTCAGAAGTAACTCAAAGGCGATATAAAGTAGACAAGAACAGTTTTGTTATTGTAATTATACAAACTATCGCCTCTTATCCGAAAAGAAGTGACGCGGAAGTGACTTATTGGGCGAGGGAGTGAGAAACTCACTTCCAAATGCTTGCAGGGTAAGAACCAAAAACAATAAAAATAACAACACCAACACAATAGAGTTAAATAAAGCGGTTAGTTAATGAGTCACTGTACGCTCTGGGAACGAGAGTTAGGTTATTAATAACGAGGTAGGTAATTTATTTAGGAGGAATTAAATATTAAATATAAAAAATATATTCTATAGACAGAGGACATTGTAAAAGATATTTTATTTACAAAATACCTTACAAAGGTCATGTATTCTGCCATAATATTATTCGAGAAGCTGAAGATCTTTCAAGAGGAATTCAATAAATGACAGAAGCCACTCAAATGGAGCGTTTAAGGCCTATCTAAATGAGATTAATAGACACTTAAACTTCAAAAAGGACCTTACATGGAAAGAAGGGGTTTCGAAAATTCGTCTATGAACAGAAGACCCTTTAAATATTTTTTTATTGGCGGAAATCATTATCAAGCCACTTAATTGACAGAATATAATCAAAAAATTGTTCATCCCTTATGTACATAGTTATTCTAAAAATAAAATACATTCTAAAAGACCTTCTATAAATCATTAGAATGGTATATTTTAGCCAGAAGGGACGTCTTTTCTAGACGCCCAAAATCAGAAAATTTTTCAAAATATATTTTCTATAGACAGAAGCTAATTCAAAGGGATTTTCTGTGGTACATAATATCCAAATCTATTGTAGAGAAAAAAAATATTTCGAAAACTATTCTTTGGGCATAAGCGGTTTTGAATGCCTTTGCAGGGGTACATAATTTAGAGATTATTTTTCAATTGGTAATTTTACGAATATTTTTGACATGTGTAGGTCTCATCTATCCGCAGAAGGACTAAAGTGATGATTCGATGGCGTATCAGTGATATCAAATAGCACGTTGATTATGTTAATCATACGCAAAAAATACCTGAAGTCACGATAAGGCTCCACATATTTTAGGTAGAGCAATGAAATTTTGCACATAGTACATTGGTATTACTCTAAGTTTGATATTGAAAATGTGATATATCGGTTCAGGTTTTGGTATATCCACACATAGAATCGCAACTCTTAATATTTTAATTTCGATTTTCAACAGAATTAGGTGTATTTTAATATTTGGGTTCTCTTTAGGTAGTAAATCTTCATATCTCCATCCGATATTCGGCATTTTGGGTTTGTTTTTTTTTATCAAATTGACTGTATTTTGGCATTTCATTGGGTAGCAAGCTTTCCTACCAAAAAAAGTCAATATCGGTCAATTTCTTAGGATAGCTTCTACATAACGTAACTCTTGAATGTCGGTATTTTGGGGTGGAGGAAGTGGTAAATACATTTTGTTAAAATTCCACGCCTTCGATAACCTTTAAAAAAATCTTCCTTAAAAATACCATGCCTTCGAAAAAATTACACACATTCGATAGTTCATTAAAAATATTCCTTTCTTTCCTTTCTTTGTCCTTGAAAAATATCTTTGAAAAAAATGTTCTTTAAAAACTCCTCGCCATATTTTGGTCCTTGAAAAAAATGTTCTTTAAAAAATCCACGCCATATTTTGGTCTTTGAAAAAAATGTTCTTTAAAAAATCCACGCCTTATTTTGGTCCTTGAAAAAAATGTTCTTTAAAAAATCCACGCCTAATTTTGGTCCTTGAAAAAAATGTTCTTTAAAAAATCCACGCCATATTTTGGTCTTTGAAAAAAATGTTCTTAAAAAAATCCACGCCTCTTATGGATGGTCTTTGAAAAAAATGTTCTTAAAAAAATCCACGCCTCTTATGGATGGTCTTTGAAAAAAATGTTCTTTAAAAATCCACGCCTAATTTTGGTCCTTGAAAAAAATGTTCTTTAAAAAATCCACGCCTAATTTTGGTCCTTGAAAAAAATGTTCTTTAAAAAATCCACGCCTAATTTTGGTCCTTGAAAAAAATGTTCTTTAAAAATCCACGCCTAATTTTGGTCCTTGAAAAAAAATGTTCTTTAAAAAATTCACGCCTAATTTTGGTCCTTGAAAAAAATGTTCTTTAAAAAATCCACGCCTATTTTTGGTCATTGAAAACGCGTCTTGTTTTGCTTCTTGAAAAAATATTCTTTAAATTTTTTTCAATTGAAGTTGGCTGTTCCAACATAGGGTCACATTACAAAATTTCTTGTACATTTAATATGAAGTCGTTGAAAAAAATGTTCTTTAAAAAAATCCACGCCTTATTTTGCTTGAAAAACATTTTCAAAAAATATTTTTTATGAAAAAAATGTTCTTTAAAAAATCCACGCCATATTTTGGTCCTTGAAAAAATATTCTTTAAAAAAATCCACGACTAGTTTTGGCCCCACAGACGGTATTTTTGTTCGAGAAAATGTAGTGATTTCGAGTGTTGAATTTTTTTGAAACATATTTGTGGTCAATGGTATGCTGTATTCAAAAACTGTTATTCACATATTAATGTGTGTCAAATAATGAGTTAAAAATATAAAGTTCTAAAATTGAAAATAATTTGTTTATCGTTTTAAATGTTATTTTCTAATAGAGCGCTAAACCACACTTTGAAGCTTTTAATAGAATTTCCGAACCACAAAATCGTTAGTCATTGCATTTTGAGTAATGAAGTAATCTAAACAATTCCGTAGTTTGGGTTTCCTTGAGAAGGAAATAGATGAAGGGTAGCTGATTGTGTCATGGTATCATTTATTGTAAAGGGATACATATCCTTCAAGTCAACAAAGAAACCTCCACCTATATTTCCTAGTTGGGTGTTTGTGTGTATGGGTGAGTGAGATAATGCACTTTATTTTTGTGTCGCCCAATTGTCTCGCCATCAATGGCAACACAATTCCCCCGTCTTCTGACATAAAAGTTTATTCAACTTTGTTGCCATTATAATTCATTGGACATTGTTTCGTTTTCACAAATGGAGGACAGGCATGATGGAATGTTCGAAGCAGAGAAAGTGAATTTTTTTCCATCAGATTTTTTTTTCGTTTCATCAAACAGTCAAGACATAGATTTTTAAAAATATTTTTTTCAAGCCTTGGTTAGGCCTCGTAAAAATATTCTTAAAAAATCCACGCCTTGGTTAGGCCTCGAAAAAATATTTTGATATTTTTTAAAGGACAAGGACAATATATATATTTTTTTAATTAAAACAAAAAACATTTTTTTTATTTTATTTTTATTTCAACCAAAAAAAAACTTGAGAATTTTACATTGCTAAAGGCTATATATTTAAAACATTTTCAATTCCTTTCATAGATAAGGATTTGTTTTTGTTGTTGTTTTCTTTGCTTTGTTTATATAATGAATAAGTCTTGTGAAATGCATTGCGCCTTTTTCTTCTAAGAAAAAAAGCTAATAAGGATTTGACTTCGATGACTTTTTATAGGCATTTATATGTATGTATGTAGGTAGTTAGTTAGGTGTGTGTGTGTGTGTATATGAAACTCATTATTAATATATATTTGAAATTTTAATTTAAAATCTACTTGTAAACAGACTTACAATGTTTCAAAAGAGAGAAAGAGAGAGGCAAAAATAAATTAAAAAATATTAAAAAACAAATTCCAAAATCTCTGTCTAAATATAGAGACCTATATAATTTTATAATCTAAGGCTTCGAGTAAAATTTAACATAATTTAAAAAAAAATGCAAACAAAATTTTTAAAAAAGTTGTTTAAAATTAGTAAGGAAACTTTTACAAAATTGGAATTTAGAATATTTTTTTTTCATTACAAATGAAATATTAATTTTTTTACTTTTTTTCAAAAGGTTTTTTTTTAAATTTTTTCGTCTTTTTAATCCAAACCATCATCAACAAAATCAGGTTTCTTGGGAGCAGCCTTGGGCTCTTCAGTTGCTGGTGGTGGTTGTGGCACAGAATCCTCATCAGCAGCACCTGCCCCTCCGGCACCAGGGAAACCTCCAGCACCTGGGAAACCAGGTACTCCACCAGGGAAGCTACTCTTAAAGGTCTCAATGAGTTTAGCAATTTTAGGATTAGATTTGTATTTGTCAATATTAGCTGGATTCTGGATAATATCCTGGAAGGCAGCCATAATTTCGGGATCATTCATGCCGGCCAGAAGGTCACCCATATTCATGCCCCCCATACCGGGGAAACCGCCACCAGCACCTCCGGCACCGGGGAAGCCACCTGGAAAACCACCCGGGAATCCACCAGCACCAGGGAAACCACCACCTGCAGCACTTTGTTTCTGTTGCTCCTGTCTGGCCTTCTGTCGCCTGGCCTCTGCTGCCTTACGTTCACGTTCAGCCTTCTTGCGTTGCTGTTTCAAACGATGCTGTTCGATTTTCTTGGCATTTGGTGTAACCTCACGCAACCATTCATCGGCCTCTTCGTCGTAATCCAACTTACAGGCCTGTCTCAAGTCTTTGGCAGCATCTTCCCAATTGCCGAGTAGGCGGTTAGCACGACCACGATATTTGTAGGCAGCTGCGGAATCACAATTGATTTCCAAGGCCTTATTACAATCACGTATACAGGCATTGGGTTTCTTCAATTTCAGGAAGGCCTGACCACGTTTGGCATGGAACAGAGCATTGCCGGGATTGATTTCAATGGCTTGGGTGTACAAATCAATGGCTTCTTGGTATTTTTGTTCGCCATAGGCAGCGGCGGCTTGGGAACGCAATTCACTTGACTTATCGATATCTTCTTCGCTGGGGGTTTTCGAGGAATCACCCATGGGTTGGTCGACATCATTGTCGGGTTCAATGACACCTGGAAAAACACGAGGAACAGAATTTAAAATAAATATCAGAAAATTTTAAAAAATGTTTTTAAAAACTAGAAAAAATATCAGAATTTTTTTATTAAAAATTTGAAAAAAATATTTTTAAAAACTTTTAAATAAATTCCGATTTTTTATTAAAAAATTTAAAAAAATTCCGATTTTTTTAATTAAAATTTTAAAAAAATATTTTTAAAAACTTTTTTTGGTTATGCCTTGAAAATCGAGTCTTTAAAAAATCCACGCCTTGGGCAGGCCTTGAAAATCGAGTCTTTAAAAAATCCACGCCTTGGGCAGGCCTTGAAAATCGAGTCTTTAAAAAATCCACGCCTTGGGCAGGCCTTGAAAATCGAGTCTTTAAAAAATCCACGCCTTGGAAAGGCCTTGAAAATCGAGTCTTTTAAAAATCAACGCCTTAGTTATGCCTAGAAAATCGAGTCTTTTAAAAATCAACGCCTTGGTTATGCCTTGAAAATCGAGTCTTTTAAAAATCAACGCCTTGGTTATGCCTTGAAAATCGAGTCTTTTAAAAATCAACGCCTTGGTTACGCCTTGAAAATCGAGTCTTTAAAAAATCCAAGCCTTGGATAGGCCTTGAAAATCGAGTCTTTAAAAAATCCACGCCTTGGATAGGCCTTGAAAATCGAGTCTTTAAAAAATCCACGCCTTGGATAGGCCTTGAAAATCGAGTCTTTAAAAATCCACGCCTTGGCTAGGCCTCAAAAAACTAGTCTTTAAAAAATCCACGCCTTGGCTAGGCCTCGAAAAACTAGTCTTTAAAAAATCCACGCCTTGGCTAGGCCTCGAAAAATTAGTCTTAAAAAAATCCACGCCTTTGCTAGGCCTCGAAAACTAGTCTTTAAAAAATCCACGCCTTGGATAGGCCTTGAAAATCGAGTCTTTAACAAAATTTTATTTTTTTATTTAAAAAAAAAAATATTGAAAAAAATTGCCGATAATGAGCTTCTGTCCCAGTCGCAAGGAATTAATAGCATTTGCCGAACTTCTCGTGGCCGTAAGCAGGAAAATTATTTGAATATACATATATTTTTTCATCATCTTTCCCCCATCTGCAGATTCTATCGCTTTGGAATTATTTCCTTACCGATCTCTTCGACACACCAATGTATGACATCCGGCTATTCGAACATCAATGTGTCAGTGTGGCCCTGTGCTTTGCCTCCCTGTATTATTCATTGGGAACATGGTTTTGGCATTCGAAGTTATCTCTGACACGAATGATGGCAAGGATTCATGTGAGATTTCTTCCGCATTTCTCATAAATTATTTGAATTCGATGATTCGGGAAGTTCTGATGTTCTCTCTCTTCTTTCAGTGCATTTTGGTTTATGTGACATTGGTGGTTCTATTGTTGATTACCCGATCTCGTTATATGACCAACTATGGACCGCTGATTCGTGGTGTTTTCAGTCATGAAATATTCGATGATGAAGATGATCGTATGGCAACAAGTTTATTGGTTATTCAGGGTATTGTGGCGATCACTGCCGTAATCGTTGTTGTCAAAATGAATTATGTTGTGAAAACTTTGGCGAATATGTGGCGGCGAAAGAGAAATCGGAGTGGTTAATAAAGAGAACCTATTTTTTTAAACGATCCACGATCCAAAAATTTATTTAAAAAAATTATAAAAAAATATTTCTTAAAACTCTACACATGGTTGGGAGTTCGGAAAAAGTATTTCAAAAAAGTCTTGGGTGATAGTCGAAAAAATATTCCTTAAAAAAACCACGCCTTGGTTAGGCCTCGAAAAAATATTCCTTAAAAAAACCACGCCTTGGTTAGGCCTCGAAAAAATATTCCTTAAAAAAACCACGCCTTGGTTAGGCCTCAAAAAAATATTCCTTAAAAAAACCACGCCTTGGTTAGGCCTCGAAAAAATATTCCTTAAAAAACCACGCCTTGGTTAGGCCTCGAAAAAATATTCCTTAAAAAAACCACGCCTTGGTTAGGCCTCGAAAAAATATTCCTTAAAAAAACCACGCCTTGGTTAGGCCTCGAAAAAATATTCCTTAAAAAAACCACGCCTTGGTTAGGCCTCGAAAAAATATTCCTTAAAAAAACCACGCCTTGGTTAGGCCTCGAAAAAATATTCCTTAAAAAAACCACGCCTTGGTTAGGCCTCGAAAAAATATTCCTTAAAAAAACCACGCCTTGGTTAGGCTTCGAAAAAATATTCCTTAAAAAATCCACGCCTTGGTTAGGCCTCGAAAAAATATTCCTTAAAAAATCCACGCCTTGGTTAGGCCTCGAAAAAATATTCCTTTAAAAATCAACGCCTTGGTTAGGCCTCGAAAAAATATTCCTTAAAAAATCCACGCCTTGGTTAGGCCTCGAAAAAATATTCCTTAAAAAATCCACGCCTTGGTTAGGCCTCGAAAAAATATTCCTTAAAAAATCCACGCCTTGGTTAGGCCTCGAAAAATATTCCTTAAAAAATCCACGCCTTGGTTAGGCCTCGAAAAAATATTCCTTAAAAAATCCACGCCTTGGTTAGGCTTCAAAAGTATTTCTTTTCCGATAACTACGCCTTATATAGCCTTCAAAAGGTTCGAAATATTATTTCGAATAGGTGGGTCTTGGGAACACATAAAAAATTCAGCTCAAAATGTTTTCAAAATATTTTATATTTTATTTAAAAACTAAATCGTAATTTAAAGTTTTCTAAATATTGCAGCTGCTGCTGCCGCCGCCGCTGCTGCTGATGTTGTGGCTGGTGGTGATCCCCCCGTTGCCGAGTAGGATAAATTCTGCACTTCATATACATTTGTGGGGAATTCATGACGCCCCACCACACCGGCGGCAGGAACTTGAGATGCTTGACAGAATATGCCCGAAGTATCAATTAGATGGGCATAATTTAGAGATCCTGTTGCGGGATTAAAACTAAACGTGGCTGGATGATGAGAGGTAGGAGGAGGCAGTGTGTCTGCAGAAGAAGGTTGCTGTTGCAGTACATTTGAAGAATCATCCGATGGGGGCATGGTTACAATTCTAGGAACGTTGTGGGATGTGGTGGTGGTATTATATGCTATGGATATAATCGGATTAAAGGCTACAGACGATGACGACGTTGTTATCACTTCCACAGAGGATGAGGAGGTGGTGATATTTGTTGCCGGTCTGGGATATTTTATAAAACTTTCTGCCGGATGATGTTGTGACAAATCTAATTTTTCCCCACTAGGATCCAACCATATACCACCCGGTTCATTCCCCGTATAGTGGGAAACATTTGGATTTGATTTCATAAAACCACCACCCCGTTTCGGTTCCGGATTTGAAAGGAATGCCAAACGAAAATCATCATGAAATGATTTGTAGTAATAGTGATTCGATACAAATTTCTTATCCAGTGCCAGACACATATCCTTGTACTCCGTGTACATTCGTTTAATATTCAGCGAATGATGAAGGTATCGAGTTTTGGATTTCTTGTTGGGCACCCATGTGGGATATGAATTAATGTGATCCAAAATAGGTTGTTTGCGTTCTGCACCAATTTTATTCGATTTTCCATTGTGGCCACGACGATCCGACCCTGCATAAAAGCCTGTAGTTTTATCCGCAAAATCGATGGCATTCGTAATGAATTGTCGGTTTATGGACAGAGTGGCCATCATAAAATGTTTACACACCCGTTTATTTTCACCCTGTAGCCCGGCGGAGCGTAAAAAGAATCGGGTGTGATAGGCTCTGGGTGGTCGATTGGATTTTCGGAATTCCGGTGTTGTTTGAGTCTCTACATCTTTGGTCTCAATGCGGGCCAATACGAAATCCTTGCGCCGCTTATAGTCCATTGACCAGAAGGTATCACAAATTTGTTTTCGCTCCTCTTCGGTAAATTTCGTATGACATTTATGGATGCAACGTTCGGCACATTTAATGGGTTTGGGAAAATGTTCGGGTAGCGGATCGCCAGGTTTACGTCGTACCCGTTTCTTTTGTTGGAGTTTCTTTTTCTCTTCCTTGGGATCGATGGTTATTAAATCGCCTGTTTCAGGATCTAAATATTGTTGCAGGGTATCTTGTTGTTGTTTTTCTTTGACGGGCTGTTTCTTTTCTTCCGGAGAAATATTGGCGACAACTGGTTTCATATCGACTTCCAATTCCGGTTCATAGCCATCCAAGGCTTTTTTAATCGTATAATTTGTAATACACAAAGTGGATTCGAAATATTTACGACACACCCTAACAAAGGAGGTGGCATCTCCTTCTCGCCGTCCTTCTCCGTCACCACCGCCGCCTATTTCATTTAAATAATAACAACAATTATTGCCACGATTTTTGGCATTTTTACGTTTAAGGCGGGTGAAACGTTTGGCCTTGGTCCTCTGTCGTATAAACTGTTTCTTTTCTTCGGAACTAAGTGACCAAAAATATTCACACATGGCCTGCCTTTGTGTCTGACTAAATTTTTGGGTACATTTTTGTTTGCAAATATCCCGACACTGTTCCATGCGGGGTATTTTGGAGCCGAAATTTTCTTCTTTGAGGGGATACTTGCGAGGTCGACCCTTTTTACGGGTAAGCATTATCAAGGGTTCATCGTCATCATCATCTAGTGCCTCATCTTCTTCTTCACCCTCCTCCTGGAAATCTTCATCGGAATCAATATAGTCCTGATCGTAATCATTATCATTTTCAAAATATTCCTCCATTTCCTTTTGATCTTCATCCGAATCACCACAGTGTGCTTCATATTTCGTTTCATTTTCCGCAACCAATTCATCTGCCTCGGATGATGGCTGGTGCTGCTTCTCATTCACCATTTCTCGTTGTTCCAATTTGATTATGTCTTCAGTGCGGTCTTCGTCATCGCCTTCAGTTTCCATTTTGATTTCCTGTTCAGGTATCGCTGCCGCCAAGGGATCATCTCCTAGATTCTCTCTAGGTCTGGGTCCGGCGGCAGCCATTGTTTCCAATTTGAGGTTGATTTTTGAAATCCGTTTTTCCTGTTTGTTGGATT